ACACGTCGTCGCGTCGTTTTAACTTTTATGGTAAAGTACCTACACATTTTCCTTTTTGATTTTCCAAAGATATAACCGTTGTAGTCAGCAGTCGTACTTTGGTGTTCTGTTGGCATTTACTTCAATATGTTTGTATGATGTTATATTAAGTACTTACTGAAATACTTCGTCATCGTTATTGTATAAGTCGTATTTAGATTTAATGATGTCAGTTACACCTTCGTCCTTCAGTTCTCCAACAGACCCTTTATCCGCCCTCGTCAAATCTGTCATTGACAGAACAGTTCGGTTGGAGAGTTAAATTATTTAACTATCGCTACAAATCCCTACTTAGGCTTAATTTCAACACTTTGTTCTATGAGTACTTATTTCAAATTACATGTCTTATGTCCATGTTTGCATCCACTATACTAAAAACTACATAAAAAATTTTAGAGCATTGCACTTCTATTATTAGACGTCATAACATGTAAGTATCAACGTATAAACAGAAATTGAGATCCTGCTCACTATAAAGATATTATACGAAATTGCAGACGTATTTCGTTTTCATAGGTCCTATAACAATTCCGTTACTCTGCAGATTGCTTCTGCAGGAATTCGCGAAACTCTTGAATTTGTGAGTCAAACAAGCTCCGTGTTTAGTTATGAATTGATGTTGGACCATTTCCCAGCCGTCGACACGAGGTGAGAACGTGGTCGAAGTGTGAAAGTTTAACGACATCAAATATTTACAAATTTCCGCTCCGGACTGGGGAGTCGCTCCGTTTCTCCTTAATTTGTGCTGCAATTCGTAATATTACTAGATTCACCGTAGACCGTAGATCTGCCACGTACCTAAATATATATTCCTACAAAGTTTTCAACTTGTATTTGTTTAGTTACCAGTTTTTGTAACAGTTAATTGTTGTTTAATCGTTCTGAAACCATGCCTTCATTACATAACTCTAGAATATCTTTTTTCACATCAGTTGTTCTCAGTTAAGAGGCGAAACCGGTACTTACGTTTTCCACAAAACGTAGCTTATGGGCACATACTTTTTGTATATTGATATGTATATGTACAATGTAGGTAGTAATATGAAATATGAAAAGTGCTCGAGAATATAAAACCATATACGTAGGTTGGTACTAAAGCTACGATTAAGTTCATGACACGCAATACCTTTCATCCTTTCTTCGCTGGCGATATTGAGTTATCGTAAAAATAAGAGGTCGATTGTAATCAAGGAAAGTTTTATATCTGCCTCTTAGAAGTTGTGTAAAAGGGCATCGAATGAACTTCTCAGTTCTCGTAAGCTCGGGAGACGGGAGCCGAAGCACTTGGCTAAGTAGTTTCAGGTAAAGTTCCACAATAAAATTCTGGGTAATAAATGAAGTCATGGGCCGACGTAAATGTCAATTAAGTCGATAATAATTAGGCCTGACGAAGGTAATTATCGATAACCATTTTATGTAGGTAAGTTTAATAAATCCATGAATATCAGTATTTTTACGTAGGTCCCATGGGCCTACACCTGAAAATGAAGTAGTTTTTTATAAATCAATTTAATAATCTACAGAACTAAAAGCGTAATGACTGAATTTAGTACTAATGGTATTCAGTTTCATTATACCATTTTATCGACAACAATAAAATTGGTTCATAGATAGGATCGTGTCTACGTAATGGCTAATTTGGTCAATTTCGACAAAAAAATTCAAATAAACCGAGCCGAGAGCGAATATAGAACTCGGCAATTTTCTCCAGTTTCAGTAAATTAAAGAACTTGTTGAAACCGTAACTGGCTGTAGAATGGAACTTAATAAACGTCTTTGTACAGTGAGATACGTTCATAATTGTAATTAAAATGTAAATTTCGTGAAATACAGTAGTGAGCACCTTTGTTTGTTTAATTAAGGCTGTACGTAAATACATACTCGTATCTACTTATCGCCCGGCCAGTAACTTTGTTAGCGGTGGAACGCAGCAGAACATACTTGTGTTTGTGGTTTGTCAAAGGTAAACTTTCGCAAACCCTTACATAACTCTACCACCGATTCGTAAAAATGTTTCTTTTGTAAATCTAATGAGCTGTGTCGACGTAATTTTATTTATTGCTGGAAGGAAAGTGAAAAGACCTACTGGAGTAGAATCGATTTTTTGTTGGTTAAGCGGATACTTTTCCTTGACATTTTACTACATTTACTTACTTACAGAACTACAGATTTGCAATTGACTGGTTTATTAAATAAAATCGTCAACTGTTTCCAATAATAATACAAAATTACCTATGTTTACACGTTTTTACGTTGTCTCTGCTTTCCCCAACACAAGCCTTCTTGAAACAGGAAGGCTATCTCGTGGCTTCAGAGTACTCCAGACAGTCAATCGAGATCGACATTTGCCATTTCAGAATTCTAGAGATAAGAGCGAGGTGGAGTTATAGAATGTCGCAGGCTAGAGCGAGATATAAAATGTAGCCACAGCTCAAGGCAGGGCGTTGCGGTCTGACCGAAGATTAGCGTGAATTGTCAGTCGTTAGGCGTATTATTTTAACATTCAGTACTAAGTACTGGCCATATTCATCTATTGTTTATGGGCCATTAGCGGTTATAATCATATAAAAATTCACAACATGTAATAAGGATTGATGGTTAAAAACTTAATTTCTTTGGAAATTTCTTCGAAAACTTTTCGTAAAGAAATAAAGACACAATTTACATACTATAATGCTTCTGGAGAATTTGTTCCCTATTAACAGTTAAGTGGAAGTACTCATTCGAAAGACAATTTCGCTCGCAGTTATTGTGTTAATTGTTTACGTGAGCCCCTTTCATTATTATTGATTTAGGTTGTCGGCTGTTTGTGGGAACGATAAAACAAATGAACTTGGTTTTGACGCTGTCAGTCTAACGTGGCTGTAAATTTATTCGAAATGTGTAAATATTTTATTACGAAAGGATATTTAAAATGTATACGACTTTACTGAGAAGCTCGTAGCGAAGGTACGGTACTGTAATTCCGGCCATCAAATCATTTTAGTCTTTACTCGGGTTGTGATGTTACTGCGTAACTTTCACAAAGTTTCCATTATCATTTCGTCGAATTCAATCGTCATACTTGCATTTATCTTCTACCAACCTTTAACAATTAAACATGCCATTGGATTTGTTATCAATAACCAGAAATTACTCTATTAAGGTACACAACTAGACATCTATACAGGATGTTTGAGGAAATCTATATCAGTGAGGTCAGAGTTCTAAGATTCTGTAGTTACAGGACCAGAATACCACTCAATTTACCCCCTATGCATGCTTTGTGTATGAGTCCCCACCTTTAGGCTTTGGCTGGTACTTACAGGTTTCTTTGGATAACCTGTATAAGATTCAATCTTCCAATTACGTTAAAAACTTTTTTAAGTTTAATTACCTGCTATTTGTCAAGATCGGTTCTCGACAAATAAGTAAAAGATTTTTGGGCAGCATTTTCTATGATCCCTTTGTTCGCTATGAGACATGGTATCCAATTTATTAAAGAATTAAAATATCTCAAAAATCTATACGAGAAATGATAGTCGGAAGATTTTTTATGTCAACGTCCACAGTGTCGTGACTCGTGACCGACTACTGAAAACGTTCCTAAATAAATAACGTTATCGAACTGTGTACAACCCACTAGACTGAACACATCGACCACGCTGCCACCTTTTTTTCTTATCGATCTCGTAATGTAAAACATCTTAAGCTTGGAAACAGTGATAATGCACTAAAAATAACAATTAATTGATTTCTTTACAATCGATAGATAAACGTTACTTAAAGATTTGAAATTGCTATAAAATAAAATTGCAGTAATGGGTTATCGCAGATAGCATAGGTACGGTTAGCGATTATTCCAGTATAATGATGGCTGTCCGTGGCGCTTACTTGCGTCAATTTTCTCTCTTGACATTCCACTTGGCTCTGTGCCAACATGCTACGCTCTGTCTCTCTAACTTACGCGACTATTACTTCAAAACAGTTGCCTGACTAAGAAAATATAGTTTGCAAAACTAAGTCACCGACTTAGTAATTCTTTTTCATTAAGTTATAAACTTGTGCCACAGTGGCAGTTGTCTCACGGCAATTTGACGCCGGTGACAGCTAAAGCTAATTAAGCTTAGAATGCCTACCCGACTGTTGTCAATAGTAGCTATGAGTGTTTAAAGACATATTTTAATAGTTTTACTTCGTACCCATTTTCTGTTACGACACCTTTCCAACATTTTCTGTGAAAATGTAACGACTCCTCAGAGGCCTGACTTTCAGAAAGAACTTTCAAACGCCTCTATTATGAAATCTTAAATTGCACTAAAGTCGAAAAGCGTGAAGCGAAAAGTTTCAGTTAAATAGAGTGCCGTGTTCTTCTTTTCCACTTATTTTCTAGTCAGAAATAAAAATGCTTTTTTAAAATATGTGAGCACGGAAAGCGGCGTGCTTCGTTATGTGGTGCGGCTCTAGTGTCAGTTTAATGCAGGTAAATTAATTTTTGTTGATGTATGTGTTTCAGTCGGTTACTTTATTAGGTCACACACTGGTCGGTGTCGTGTGGACAAGTCGATAAAGGGTAGGCGTGTATCACACGTTAGTAGCGGCCATTATACCTCTCTGTAATGTGTATTTTGTTTACATTGTCCCATTATTCCCGCTTGTGTTCCGTTCGCTGTTTTCATACTTCCCCGCTAAAAATAACTGTTTTATTCAGTAAATGTGTCGTGTTGATGTAAAATCAATTACAGAGACTGCAGTACATCTACAAAGTCACCTAGACGGTAACAATCTAACGTTTATCAATTTGTTTCCATTAGTTTGAATCCTGGATCGAGCTTCTAGTCTTGACCGTAGTTACTTAGCTACATTTCGAATCAGTAGAAATTACAAAGCTATTAACCTACGTATTTAGTTGTTAGCTGTAAAACGGAGTAGGTACTTTCCGTACTTTTTAGTTTTCAAATGAATTATTTTAGCCAATCATATCAAAAAAGTACAATACGTGTATCAAAAAAGTATCTCGTACTTAGAAGAGTGTATCGATATTTTATACAGGCTGTGAAGCCAAAGAAAATTCCTACTTGGTAAGTAGGTAAGTTAGTTAATGTGCGCATATATCTAATCCTCAGACAAGAAGAGGTCAACGGTTGATTTGGGGATATACCTACTTATTCACTTCACGGAAACATTATTTCAACGCAGATACAAACCAATTTACCTAAATGCATCTTACTATTTGAATTGCAATCTGACGTACTTACCTAGCCGCATATGGAAAAACAATTAAACTTGCCTCATCAAACCATGTATTTCGAAATTGAAAACTCATCAAATCTTTGTGAACATTGAAATCGAATACGTGCTCAGTTAGTTATACGTTGGCTATCACTAAGCCAGCGAGGTATTTGCAGTTAAAAAGTGTTATAATGATCGATTGGTCGCTTACAGTGCACTCACAAGATGTCCTGGATATTTTCACACGCTTCAGGCAGCGCTAAACGATCCAGACACGAGTAGCTTACCGCTTTGTATTTACAGGTCGATAGTTTTGCTGTTTGCCATGTCGACGATCATCGTGAAACCTACAGGTCGTCTGTTCTCTATCAATGTTGATTACCTACGTACTAAAACAACAAAAAGAGATCTACAAACACCATCACAATGTTCACGTTATGCCTGAAAATATTCCACTAACACTTTTCATAATCTTGTACGTATAAGATGTCTGCTACTGTAATGTTTTTTTTTTACTTAAAACTGAGCCAAAATGAAACTCGTATATTGTGATATTTTTTGCCAAATAAATGTTGGAACTGCAATATACTGAATTTATATTTACTACGCCGCCGCCGCTTGGCTCGCATCGTCCGTAGATATGGTCCAATAAATGGTTGTTTAGCGAATTATGCAGGGATCTAGGCCATTTGTACCATACATTGTACGTTCATTATTACTATTATGAATACAATTGTTCTGAAAATGTCTGGATATTTCCGTATACAATTTTTGTCTTGTTTATTATTACTATCTATACATACAAAACCTCTCCAGGCTGTCTCCCATGGGAGCAGGCAGAGAATAAGAAACGCCATTTGCTACGATTCTTACATACATCGTTCGCTTCATCAACTATCTATATTTTAAGATAATCTAATTATTTACGGGTCTTACTGCTTACTTGTTAAGGAGACTGATTGGAGGGTTTAACCAAGCAATGTTAAGCGGTTAAAGTCGGCAAACATTGTAAGCAGGCATTGGAGAATAACTGAAGATGCGGAAGGAAGACTGATAATAAAAGATATTTACGAAGGGTCTCATTGTTCCCGTTCTTTGTTCACACTTAGTCAGATTCATTTACCCATCGAGATTTTACAAAGACTTCTTTAGAACTTGTGTGGGCTCGCTTAGGCTCTTTTTGTTTGAAGTAAAGAGTTTGAATTGATACCTCGGAATTAAGTTTCATCGTACCTAACCTAGTTACTAGAATTATATACTTTTTCTACACTAATTTAAAAGCTTATGACGATAATAACTTCCCAAAATGTGTGGATTAGTCTTTAAATGTTAGTATTTTGAATGTGTGTGTAGCTGGGGAATCCTATATTGACTAACTTAATCAGCTGGCTCCAGAAATCAAGGGGATGTATTTCTACATAATATCATCTAAGTTTGAGTGAGGAATTACATACGTTTTCCAGAGGACGTTTACTAAAGATGTAAGCATGTTGCACACTATAAAATGTTCGCTGTCCGACTATCATTACACATACGTATGTACCTACTTCAACTAATGGAGGACTACTGATTGATTGACACTTCACAAATAAATGCTAAAACGCGACTGAAATAGTTTGTAGTGCAAACTAAAATAAAATGTAACGGTATTTTTTAGCATAAGAATATTCCTGGTAGAAATGGCTTATTTAATTGAACAAGAAATGTCTAATGTGCGTAATTTATTTTTAAACTAAATTGAGTAGTTAGTGTCAGGTCAAAACAAAAGTGTTAGCTTTCTAGGAACACGTGTTGAAAAGCAATAAGAAGGCCATAACCGTCGACGTCGCGAAATGAGAACATTTTATATCGTGCCTGTATCGCGGAATAACTTTAGCTCCCTTCAACAGCCCACCCACTTTTGCCGACTTGGACGTACACTTAGTTACTTTATTAAATAGCCATTCAACTTGGTGCTGCTTCAACGACCTATATTCCAGTGTATTTACAGCTGTGACTTAGGTTCTAGTTCCTAGCATTATCGAGTCACTGGGCAGAACATTTAGTTAGTAATACCTTTTTCTAGAAGAACAACTTCTCCAATTTGTTTATTAGTTCTTCAGGTGTAGTGCCTTAACAACCTAAGTTATTTAGTCTTGCTTTGCAGTTTGATATAAATTCAACCAGTCGAACATATTTGGGTATGTGTAAGGTTTCAATACTCGATGATTCGTAAATGAACAGAAGTTCAACGGAACTCAGGAATAGAATGCTAGTACCTAATTATTCAAAATTGTATTGATTTTGTTCAAAAAGAGTTGCATAAAAAATTTAGATGAATATTCCTTTAAGTTAATCGATTTTTGTAACATCCCCCGAGTAACGCCTCGAGCTGTCATGGTAAACCTTCTCTAAAATAATCAGGCTTTCTTTGAAATTGGAGCCACTTCAAAAATATTTTAATTATAAAATTGATTTTAATATAATGAAATTAATTTATTAAAATAGGTAGGTATATTATGTAGATACATTGAAAGACAGATGAAAGAAACATAATGTTAAATTGAAAGGGATAGAAAATATGATACCTCACAATTTCTATTCATAACGGTAGATCCCAACGCAACGCGATCTGTAGCATCAAATGACAAAGCTTGGCGCCTCCACGGGTCGGCTACAGTGGAGCATCGCGGTCCTTTCTATTTATTTAATTTAGCTTTAGAATGAAAACGACTAACAACAACTGCTGAACACATAGATTTTGAGTTTTATATGGACCAATGATCTGAAACTATAGGTACCTTATAAAGCTGAAGAATTTGTATGCTTGTTTGAACGCAGTAAGTAATCTCCGAAACTATTGGTTCAAATTGAATAATTGTTTTCATGTTGGATAGTCCATTAATTGAGGGTGGCTATAATAAGCTATAAATCATCACGCTAAGATCTATAAGGGCCGAGCAGCGAGTACAATCGCGCGCGTACAGTTAGTGCAAAATAATTCGGCTTATTTTTCTAAGAAGTCATATAAACTGTATTTATAACTGGTATAATAACAGCCTCGCCCTGTATAATAGAACAAATGATATAATTGCTGCCATAGTTTCTGGTGTAAGTGGGCTTACTCCCTTTGGGGAATAGCAGGCGTGATGTAACGCAGGTAATGTTACCTACATGTAAATGTATGGAAACCATCTAACCATTGCTGCATTTAACAAACTTACAGGCTTTATAGCTGATATCGAATAGGTATTGTTAAACTGATCTAAGTTAAAATATAAAGGCTTTCACAAAATTCTCGCTGTCTTAGTGTTGGTCGTTAATGCCCGAATAATAAACGGCACAGAGCAGTAAATCCCAACTGCGTTATATCTTCATTCGGCAGTGGACACTTAATTACAGCTGTGACTGTGTCTCGTCAATCAAGAATTAATTACTTTTATTATTTGTCCGTTTATTCACACTTAATAGAACTAGCCTCTAATTACTTCCATAAACAGAAAAAAAGAAAGATATATCTAATAATTCAAAATGAATTGCTTTAAAATGTTTAAGAGCTAAGTGTTTAAATGTGTCGTGAGAGCGGTCATTGTAGAGAGTGTCTCTATTCATGTTAACGTCGGACTAGAACGTCCCAAGAACCGACTGAAACCTTTGTTAGAGGAAGTATCCCCTTACAGGCTTTGTGTGCAGGCCGGCAGCTAGCGACGCCATGCGCCCACCTAATTGTCCTGGACCTCTCGCGCGGAACAACTCCACGCTTTAAATAACTATCCCTGGACAAGCAGCATCAGTATCATCACAGCAGTGAACAAACAACACAAGGATTACAATTTAATATAAACGCGAGTGAAGTTTGAACAGTGTAAAAACAGAAAATCCCGCCCTCTACAAATTCGTTTAGTTCAGTTTGTTTTGCCAGAAATTAGTTTGTATTATCTCAACATTACTTACCGCAAATAGCTCGGGGAGTTTGTTTATGGAATATGAATTTGAGTTGTCGGGTTCGTTCCTCTATTCAGTTTAATCACTACACCCTCGAAATACAGCGGGTTGTATAACGTGCACGTGTTGAAGGTATTCTACAGTCTGCGATACTAACAAAATTCACACGAGACTTGAACAATAGGTTGCCTCGCTGTCGTTTATCGAGATCGTGAGAAGCCAAACGCCACGATATTCATTATATAATTAATTGCTCTTATTTTTAACTCGAGTGGCTACCTATTTCAATTTAACATTTTGATTATTGTGGACACTCCCTATGTAATGTTAAGGCTAAAGTACTTGGTAATATATAAATAAAAAAGGTAAAATTTAATGAAAGTTGTACAATGAAAAGAAAGCAAAACAGTCCTTTCCGTTACGGCCCTGAATACATAAACAGGGATTGTACTTACCACTCATCGGGTACCCGATCACGTTTTGTGACTAGGTGCCTATTTTAGACTTAGCTGTGAGTGGGTGTGTACCTGCTGCCTATAAAGCTATGCGTTTTATAAATAACTGTACTACCCTACCCTCAATGGATTTTAAGTTTCGTATCTCTTTAAAAATTCAATATGTTCATGAATAATCAAGTACTACTTCGTTTTAGGTACATTGACCTGCCTTTAAAAAATCAGGACGAGGGTAAACTGATTAGGAGATTTTAATGCATACTTAATTTATCGTTTTTCTAAGTGCGATCATTATTCATGAGTTCACCGCTGTAATTGAGATATAAGGGCGGGAACATCACGATCAAACTGATCACGTCATATTGACCTCATTTATCGTTCGGCACTCAAAAGATTCTCATTCAAAATTTATCATGAAATCGCGTGTTTCTGAGCAAACGTTGATGTCAGTGAAATTAAGCGACATTTATTGCAACTTAGTTCAAAGTAAATTGGTATTA